GGGGCGCATGCACAGTACAGATCTTCAGCCAGGAGATGGGGAGAGACACAAGGTAAGTCAATGGAGTGAGCGTGCACCCGCACCCTCCAGCACTGGTGCTGGAGGGACTCCTGAAAACTACAGGAAAGAAGAAGATGATCGGATAAAGAGGCATCATTTAAGCTAAGTCCTTACACTAGCGTGGGGGGGGGGAGAGATATCCTTTAATTTCAACAAAAATTACAAACTGGATGATAAAGTCATATTAGACATGTACAGTTTTCAAATTCTTTTACTTTACTGGTAATTTTACGTTGGATATATATGGGCAGACAGCATAAAGTCTAGGGGCAACAGATGAACACGTTGAACCATGTATGACATGGTTATCCAGGAAGATTTTTTACGAATAAATACTACTTTGGAGAAATTATTTGAGCAGTTTTTCTAAACCGATATATACAGTACCTTGCTTGGATCCTCCAGCATCTGTGGTGGGTCCTGTGTTTGGAGTATACCGAGTATCCCTTGTGCCCGCACTTTGCTTTGTCCAGTCAAAGATGTCAGCATCGTCTTGGGTAAATAAGCAGATATTACTATCATCAAATCCACAATGGAATTCACCTGCAAAAGAAAGAATAAATATACCTGGATTATTGCAGCATAACAGATCTCTACTGTCTTATAACTGTCTTTCATTTACACATCCGCAGATAGTTAGGAAGGTGAAATATTTTGTGCAGAACATGTAACATTTGGGAATGTGCCATTCCAGATTTCAATTCTGCCATTAAAGAAAACTGTTAAATGATAAGCAAAGTGGACCTGTCACTTATGTGGGTCAATGTGTTTAAGGTGTTTAAAACAACTCTATGATTGTGGATGGTCTCCATGAGAGAGAGAGAGAGAGAGAGAGAGAGAGAGAAGGAGAGAGAGAAGGAGAGAGAGAGAGAGAGAGGAGAGAGAGAGAAGGAGGGAGAGAGAAGGAGAGAGAGAGGAGAGAGAGAGAGAGAGAGAAGGAGAGAGAGAGAAGGAGAGAGAGAAGGAGAGAGAGAGAGAGGAGAGAGAGAAGGAGAGAGAGAGTGAAGGAGGGAGAGAGCGAGATGGAGGGAGAGAGAGAGAAGGAGGGAGAGAGCGAGAAGGAGGGAGAGAGAGAGAAGGAGGGAGGGACAGAGAGAGAGAGAAGGAGGGAGAGGGCGAGAGGGAGGGAGAGAGAGAGAAGGGGGGAGAGAGAGAGAAGGAGGGAGAGAGGCGAGAGGGAGGGAGAGAGAGAGGAGGGAGGGACAGAGAGAGAGAGAAGGAGGGAGGGACAGAGAGAGAGAGAGAAGGAGGGAGGGACAGAGAGAGAGAAGGAGGGAGAGAGCGAGAAGGAGAAAGATAAAGAAAGGAGGGAGAGAGAGAAGGAGAGAGAGAGAGAGAGATAAAGAAAGGAGGGACAGAGAGAGAGAGAAGGAGGGAAAGAGAGAGAAAGAGGGAGAGAGAGAGAGAAGGAGGGAGGGAGAGAGCGAGAAGGAGGTAGAGAGAGCGAGAAGGAGGGAGGAGATATAGAAAGGAGGGAGAGAGATTGAAGGAGGGAGAGAGAGAGAGAAGGAGGCAGAGAGAGAGAGAGAGAGAGAGAGAAGGAGGCAGAGAGAGAAGGAGGCAGAGAGAGAAGGAGGGAGGGACAGAGAGAGAGAGAGAGAAGGAGGGAGGGACAGAGAGAGAGAAGGAGGGAGAGGGCGAGAAGGAGAGAGATAAAGAAAAGAGGGACAGAGAGAGAGAGAAGGAGAGAGAGAGAGATAAAGAAAGGAGGGACAGAGAGAGAGAGAAGGAGGGAAAGAGAGAGAAGGAGGGGGAGTGGAGGACGGAGAGTGGAGGAGGGGGAGGGAGAGAGAAGGAGGGAGGGAGAGGAGGGAGAGAGAGAGAAGGTGGGAGATAAAGAAAGGAGGGATGGAGAGAGAGAGGAGAGAGATAAGGAAAGGAGGGATGGAGAGAGAGAGGAGAGAGATAAGGAAAGGAGGGACAGAGAGAGAGAGAGAGAAGGAGGGAGGGAGAGAGAAGGAGGGAGGGAGAGAGAAGGAGGGAGGGAGAGAGCGAGAAGGAGGTAGAGAGAGCGAGAAGGAGGGAGAGAGATATAGAAAGGAGGGAGAGAGATTGAAGGAGGGAGAGAGAGAGAGAAGGAGGCAGAGAGAGAGAGAGAGAGAGAGAGAGAGGAGGGAGAGAGAAGGAGGCAGGGAGAGAGAGAAGGAGGCAGAGAGAGAGAGAGAAGGAGGCAGAGAGAGAAGGAGGCAGAGAGAGAAGGAAGGAGAGACAGAAGGAGGGAGAGAGAGAGATATTGTTTGTTAATGCAACCAATCGATTAGTTGAAAACATAATCTGCTAAATAATTGTTAGCTGCAGCCTTACACCATTTACCTTCAGCAGCTGAAAGGATAGTGCAAAATTGCAAGCATAGAGCAGTCTGTACAGTTATAAGTGACATCATTAGAGCCGATCTGGTTTATGCTTCATGCACACACAACAGTTTTTTTTATAAATCATTGAAATACAATGTAATAAATAAGATTATTTCTACACCTCAACAATGCCTCACATCCTTTCCAGCATTTCAGATGGCTGCAGAGAGGGTACATGACTTTTGTCACATACCCAGGAAGTCAAGACTATAACCAAGTCAGCCTGTCCTAACACTGAAGTAGACAACCTGACTCCTCCTGTAAGAAAACCTGAAAGCATCAGTCACATAAAGTTCTGTGGTCATTAATGGCTGAAAAAAGTTTTTGATGCAAATCAACACTGTCAGGTTTTTGGCAGCCTGTGTACCCATTGGGAAATTCACCCTATTCGTTCTTGTGACCATTGTCATTGGGACTGAAATTCAGGGAAAATGTTACACTGAATTTGTCATTTTAAAGGAGAACTGTGGGTTTAGGGCTTTTCCCCATAGTTCTCCTTAGGGTAATGGGAGGACACAAACTAGCGTCCTCCCGTCACCCTAAGCTCAGTATACCGCAAGCTACAGCTAGCGGTATACTGAGACACCGCAGCTGAAGCGGATCCCAACAATTATATCTGGATCCGCCCAGCTGCGTGAGTGATAGCTGGCTCTGCCTATGTAGAGGCAGAGCCAGCTATACCCGCCCCCTCCCCGTCCGTTCCGCCAGTCAGCGCTGGAGGATCGGAGCAGGGAGGGAAGAATCCAGCCCCTTCCCTGTCACGGCAGAGATCAGTGACAGGATCAAGAAGTGAGCGAACGCCGGTATGTGTTCGCTTACTTCCCGATCTACTGAGCCGACCTGTGACAGTCTCATTGTCACAGGTCAGCTAAAACTATGAGGTGAGTGAAAAGCACTCACCTCATAGTTCTCCTTTAAGAGACTTGACAGCTAAGACAGCTGACACTTGACAGCTAAGAGAGAATGACCCTCATTTCACTTCTTGTTGAGTCTATGGGAGAGGAAGTATAGGGAAATCTACCCAGTGGGGTACAGATGGCAAATGCAAATAACCTAACAGGGCTTCGAACTCTTTCCTACTGTATCAAGAAAAGTGTTGGGTTTATATATAATTAAATAGCAAAATGATATGGAACACCAGCTCATCCCATTGCCCCCGGGCCTAAGTTTAACCAATGGGTCCAAGTAATATTTCACAATTAACAAAATTGTGATAGCTTAAAAAAAGAGTGGGGATGGGTTTGTACAAATGAGTGTGTAAGGAGTTGTGTTGCACTGCATGAATTCTGCTGTTTTTTTCAGTTTTTAATTATTTTTTTTCATGTGCCCTTTGTGATTTTATTCTTTATCAGATTGATCAAGAGTCATTGTGTTTATATGTGGCTTACAAAAGCTCCCTAGCATTTCCTTAAATTAACTCCCATTCAGATTACGCTTGGTAGGGGCCACATTTAGATCGTGCGCAGGCAGTCTAGTGTAGATTATGTACCTCAGCTGTTCATAAATGACAGTAGCAGCCCTGTAATACTCATATATTCTACACATAAATTTGCAAATTGCACCTATTTTGCAAGGATTTACTCTGCACGACTCTAACGGCTTCACACTGTTTGTATCGTATACAAACACTACAGCTGGTGTAGTGTAGTTAATTATTGTTTTTATAAAAGGAATCCTGCATTAAAGCTATAAATCGTCCTTTATCCCTTTTGTTATGGGCCCTCCAACGTTAGGACTTGCAATTATTTTTAATCACATACGCGCTATCATTTATTGTTTCCGTGCTCTGATGAAAATGGAAGGCTCTTTGTAGGTGGTAATCCTTAGACTTATGTTTGTATTTCGTCTATGATACGCACAGCAGGCTCCACCCGGTGAACTTTGGAGGGGGTCTTTAATGAACGATATGTGCTCAGCTATAGTGCATCTCAAATATTTTATGGAGATGATAGATGAATCATATCATTTTCTTTACATCTGGATAACAAAAGGTCAGACTCTCAGCTTGTTTGTGAACCTATAAAACTGCAAATAAATCGAGGCTCAGCATGAACCTAGGGAAGATTAATAACAGCTTTTCACGCTTAAGGACGTTTTCAGGCAGTACTAAGACACATGTACGTGCAGATTTATACTCTGCCTTTAATGTCACTTCACCTTCCAGAATTAGCTACTGTAGATACTATCCATTCAGTAACTTTAATTGCGGATAAGAGAGCTCTACTTCAACAAACTAATGTACTTTCTATATTTTATTATGAAGTTATGAATCCTTCATTAAATCGCACCAACAGGTTATGCTGTAATATAATAGGTAATTAAGAATCTCAGGGTTACTTACACAGCTCACATGCATATATTCATTGAAGCCATGGCAACCAATCAGTGTTTGCTTCAGAGTCCATTTACCCTTCAGTGTTTCAAAGCCATGGGGTCACAGAGGACCCGCAGATCTCTATTAGATTGAATGAAGTGAAGGCTACCATAAAGAATGCCTTGCACTGCACCTTATGGAAAACATACTTAAAGTACAATTAAACCTTCGTGAATTTTTGCATATATCTATTGCTAGCAAGCAGTAGATGTATGCAAAAACATAAAAAAAGTTACCAAATAAGGTAATTACTTACCTGTGTCTCCACCGCATGCTCCTGTACAAAGATCTAAAGAGTCTCGGGCGGCCAGGAAAGGGTCATGGGCCAGGTGCATGCGCAGTACAGATCATGAGCCAGGAAAAGAGGAGAGACACAAGGTAAGTCAATGCATGCTGCCCAGCAGCATGCACCCACACAGACTCCATGGGACACAGAAGAGACAGCAGTCAGGGCTGGATCAGAGACAGTCACCAGCGCTGGAGGGACTGCTGGAAACTACTAGAAAGAAGAAGATCATCAGATCAAGAGGCATTATTTAAGTTTATTTCCTACAGCAGAATTGGGGGGAGGGAATAGACTTTAATGTCACTTTAAACTGTAATAAGCAGCAGTTTATACATGCACAACACCGTGAACAGCTCAGTAGCTGATGATGGGCAGTAGTTTATATGTTCTTTGCTGTGCATTAAAATGTATTCTTACTTTCAAAAAGTTTGATAAATTAGGCCCTTAGACAGCATAAAGCAACACTAGACTCAGGAATCAAATCTTAAAAATGTATTCAAGTACCCTATTAACAAAAATGTGTCTTATT